TCTCTCTCTCTCTCTCTCTTCGCTCTTACGATATATGTAACTCGAAGTAATTACGACGATCGAGAGAGGAAGCTCCGTTCGAAACGTTCTTGTTGTTGTTCGTATCGAAACGGTTGTAATTTTCGCGAGATCTATTTTCCAACCCCTCCTGCTACGATTAGCTGTCGTTTTCAACCCCCTTGCGCGGACCATAACGAGTGACCAAACCGTATACAATAAAATCGTATACGGCGCTTTCTTTTTCAATTCGTTGTAAATTTATTATATTTTGCAATTTTGGGACGAAAAGAATTGTCAACTCCTGTGCGTGGCAAGAGGTTGAAAGTGTGCGTTGCTAGAACGACTTGACGACGACTATACTCGTCAAACAGGGAGTACGTGAAATTAAATTAAATTTTTAATAATTATTCTTTGAGAAGTACCAATAATTTGACTTGATCAATACATCAGTTTACAAAACTCAGACATTTATATTCAAATTTTTGTTATTCATTAAATCAATATGTATTTTGGAGGAATAAAAGGAAATTAGAAGTTTACTTTATTCTTTCAGAATGATATCTCTTCGTATGTTATTTTTTCAACACAGTGAACATCTTCGTGTAGGTTTAGTTTTTGACGATGCGCTTGGTGTGTAATGTGGAAAATGATTTACGACGAAATATGTGTAGTCTTTGCCGTGGATTTATCATCTTCAATTCGATATAATTCGATGCTTTTCTTTTTTCAATGTTTAATTTTCCATTGTTCTTTTTTTATACAACAAAAATGAACTCGAACGAATAAACACTTAAAAGATGATTTTTCCAGTATATACAAAGAAATTATACATTGTATGACTTTCACACAATAGAACAAGTATACGCAAGATGGCGCACGAAAGCCATATCATAGTAAGAGAACTGGTCAAGTCTCAATGTATTTCAAAATGTCTGAAAGTTACACGCCTTATATTCCACAAAAAGGAATTTAACTCAAGTGACGAATTACTTTCCTCGTGTGACGAGTATACTCGTCGTTCACA